CATCCCCCCAATTCTCTTTTAATGTGTGGTTGGCCCTGAGGAACCGGCTTCCTACCCAGGACAGCCTCGGTTACCTCCATATTGTGAATCGCTGTGACTTATGTAAGGGTGGTTTGGAGACAATACCACACCTGTTTTTCCGTTGCCCCTTTACTTGTAGGGTGTGGCAGCAAGTTCGGGACTGGATAGGCTTGAGACATGGCATGACAACGTTGTTGAGTGCAATTAAATGGATCACAAAGACAAATAGAGGCTCGACGCTGAAGGCTAAGGCAGCACGCATTGCATTTTCTGCGACTATCTATTACATTTGGCATGTACGTAATGAGATCAGATTTGATGACGGCAAAAAGACGGAGGATGATATTATTGCGAAGATCAAACATGTGGTGTACAAGATCCTCTTCAACATCTATCTGCATGATCTGGTCAACTTTTGAGGTGGACACAAAGTGATTTTTGGACCACGGCATATAGTAGTGTTGTATGTTTTGTGTGCATGCTTCTTGCAGCACCTCTCTGTTTTTGATTTTTTGGGCCGCGGCTTATTATCGCATTGGCTTTCTTGAGTTTTGTTTGATTGTAAAGCTTCTCTCAACCCTCTCCTATACGTATGTAACAGGAGGGGGTGGGGGGAGGCTATAAATTTTGTAACTTTTGCTTGGATGGTATATATATTTACGGTTCATCCAAAAAAAAAATTAAGCTTCACGGTGACAAACAAAAAATAGAAATAACATAATTTTCGAAGTACTATATATGACATCCCGGGGAAAAGATAAAAATTAAATGATCAATGAAATAATAGAAATAGAGATTAGTTCCCAAACAGGACTTATGTTTTTTATTCTCAAAATAGGAGTTCAATCCCAATTTTATCCTTCCTCTATTTGTTTTCTCCGTAACCCCCAGAATTTTCCCCAATCTTCTCTCTCTAATCTTCTCTCTCTGTTTTCTTCTCCATCCCCTGCCCTCTTTCCTTCTGTTCTTGTACGCTTCCTCTCAAATGGAGTCAACCTCCATTTTTTTTTCCTTCCCAACTCCAGCCACCGGCGAACGGAGGACGGCATGCGGCGGATGGCGGTCGGCCGGTCGTAGTAGGTAAGGTTCTTCTTCTTTCTTTCTTTTTTCTTTTTCTTCTTCTTTCTTCTTCTCTTCCTCTTCTTCCTCCTCCACCTCTTCTCCACATCCTCGTTGTGTTCATACTCCTGGTTTTCATCCCTTAAACTTTTTGGTATATTTTACTGATTTTATTTCTTTAATTTTGAGATTCAAAATAAAATTTGATATTCTAGATCTGAAAATTTTGGTTTTGAAAAGAGAGGCTCCTACTACCAGGATTTTTTCAAAGTCTTGGATCTATTTCATTTATTTATTTATTTATTAAATGGAATTTTTATTTATTAATTTTCAGATTCAAATGGAAATTTTGAAAGTTAGGTTTAAATTTTGGGGGTGAAAAAATCTAAGGCTCCAAATGTTGATTATCTCAAAATTTCAGATCTTACTTTTAACTAATTTTGAATATATATATTTAAAAATCTGATATTAGTTTTTAAAGCCATTTTAAATCCGTAAAATGCCAATTTGAAAAATAATGCTTTTTTACAAGAATATTACTAAAATAAAACTTATTTACATAAATATAACTATTCATTACTATAAGGTGGTGTTGTAGTAATTTAAGTTCAAAATTTGAACATAAATTACTATGATTTCATTACTACTCTAGTAACTAATCATATTTTTGTAAACCATCTTTATTTTGGTCATATTCATGTAATTATTTCTTAAAATATAGAAACTTTAATTTAATGCCATGTTTTTATTGTGAACATGAGATTTCAGAAAATATTATTATTTATGCCACTAAGTAAACAAAAATGGCAATATTTTCAATATTCCAATATGAACTTGTTATTTATGACACTAAGTAAAGAAAAATGGCAATATTTTCAATATTCCAAACTTGTTATTCATGGCACTACGTAAAAAAAATGGCAATTTTTTCACAATTTCAACATGAACTTGTTGTTACAAGCATGAATGCCATTAAGATAGCATTCTACTTCGATGATGGCACTTCGAGTAAAAATCTGTCCAGGCATGAGGTGGGAACCAATCCTAAGAGAGGAGGTGGTTGTGGTGGGGGAGGTCATTGTCGATGGAAGAGCTCGTCGCCGGAAGAGCTCATCACCGGAGCAGATCTACAAGAGCTCATCAGAGTTGCTCATTGCCTGAAGAGATCGTTGTAAAAGGTCGTTGCCGAAGACTTCAGTGGTCGGAGACGGCGCTGGCGGGGAGCTGCGCTGGCGCCGCCATAGGGTGCCGCCGGCGCAGGAGGTGGAGGCCAGTGGCAGCAACAAGCAGCGTTCGTGGATGCCCTAGTATTTGATGTATCTGTTTTTCAATACTCCGTATAAATGTAAACATAACTGACACGTACTTCATTAAGGGTAGAATGGTCAAGTCATATATTTTTACTCCTATCAGAGATTAAAAAACATTAAACTCTTATTTGTGAACTTTCTTAATGTTTTACTCTTATTAAGAGAATTAACCCAGCCAATAATGTAGAAACACTAAACACGTATAACAACCATTATATTCTTAAAATAGTCTTTATCCACAAGAACATCATTTAGGTCATAATAATTTTGTCATGATAAAAAGATAATTTAATCCCAACATTTTCCAAGACAGAAATGGAAACTAATTAATTGGTCCGAATTTCGGCCACAAAAACACCTCATGTAAAAATAACAAGTTTTATAATATGAGTTCAAATGAAATCTCTATTTTACCATCCCCTATCGGGCAATAAGAGGAAAAGCCCGTTTTTTTTATTTAAATTCACTAATGAGTATGGTAGTCACAAAATCTACCACTTAATCATTCACATAATTACAATTACCGCCAACAAATTTTAAATTTTATTTTGATGGATTATTTTCCATAATTGCATCCCCCACAAAGAGTGACAGCAAAAGCAAAAGCTATTCGTATTTGACCATTCAATGGGAGCTAGAATTTGCACCACTTGTTCTAAGGGGAATTTCGGGCACGTTGACTATGCAATCTTTATTCACCATAATTCCTCAGATTGTTGGCTCTATCCTTCCAAAATCAATGTGTTGACCGTGTTGCTCCTAAATTGACCTCGTTCACTATCTAGCTCCAAGAATTGGCCTGCAAAATAATCACTAAGAACTAAAAGGATATTAATGGCTCGAGACGCATCAGACGCTGTCCTAAGGAATTATTTTCAGCGTATGGAAATTTCCCCCAAGATATAACGAGCCCTTCGATACAAGACCGGTAACATAACTAACGAGAAGAAAATAGTATATGAACCCAACAATATATAAGAAATGAGTTGTTGCACAAATACACATTTTATCACTCAAATATTTTTTAAGGGTTTTTTTACGAGAATATTACTAAAATAAAACTTATTTAAATAAATATAACTATTCATTACTAGTTTACTACAACGTAGTGTTGTGGTAACTTAAGTTCAAAACTTGAACTTGAATTATTATGATTTCATTACTACTCTAGTAAGTAGTCATATTTTTGTAAACTATCTTTATTTTGAATTATTATGATTTCATTACTACTCTAGTAAGTAGTAAACTATCTTTATTTCTTAAGAAAACTGCACATGAGATTTGCAAAAATCATAGAACATACTTCGTACCATGCATACAATATCACTACTATACTCCGATCCCTAAATATTTAGACAAACCAAAATATGAAATATTATATATAGTGCATTAGTGCATAGCACTAGAACTATACAATAACTACTAACAAAACAGGCATATATCAATATTAATGATTAATAAAACTTGTACTCTGATTTTTATAAAACTAGCATCATTTTCAACTAGTTACAATGATTTTAGTTTTTAGTATTACTAATGGAAAATCACCTATATTTAGTAGATTATAATTAATGTTGTTTATAATGCATATTGTTGGCGTTTAGTCCCGTAGATCCGAAAGCCCAACACACGCTTTGGATATTTAAGAATCTTGGTCTTGGTATAAAAGGTGTATAAAATATAAAATAGTGAGTATGGATTATTTAACTCAGAAGCTAATTGTATTGAGTAATTCAGTGATTACAATGAAACTGCCCGAACGGTAGGTCGGTACGAGTTTGAATACAAGAATAGAGATATGATTCTATTGCTAAGCTCTGAGTATCAAAAAATGTCCTCCCTTCCAATGAATTAAATGCTGATATTTATACTAAGATGAGGTAGGTGAGATGGACACATGGCTAACCTCAATTGATTGTTTTCTTGCCGCTTTTGTGCCCATGCTCTCACTTGTTCCCGCCATACTCCAGCATTAAATGCAGCTGCCACTTGTTCTTCTCTCGTACGAGGACCCCGTTCGGGATGTTGTTATCCCTTGAGGTGCCGTTTAGACGAGATGTGCCGAATGCAGGTCGGGGATCTCGTCCGGGGTGTTCTGGACCGTTTTGGGCCCTACGTTTCTTCTGGGCTCCTCATACTTTAGGCCGGGTTTATTGGGCCTGGACCCAATATCCCAACACATATTCTAATTCATTGAGTAGGTCTAATTTTTGAACTAATTATCTAAATATGTGTGCAGCCTATATTTTCTAATGAAAAGAACATCTTTTATAACTCTCAATTGGATGTAAATGAAATTGATCTTTTCAACTATCTTTACCTACACACAAAAAGCGAAATTCTCAATGTGTATTCTTATCCATTAAATTTCATTTTGTGGCTTATTGTTCTTTTCAAACTAACTACTTCGTATACGTTTTTGCAATGTAATTGTTTTAAAAATGGGTGTAGTCAATTTTTTTTTTGAAGATATTAGACCTTCTAGGCCTACACACACGTTTTTAAGATTTGATTTGTCAATTAGATCGTAATCAATGTATTAGTTTTTGAGGTTATTTGTAATATTGTTGTAGTCCCTTTTTGTATTTTTTACTCTGAATTTATAAAATATTTCAGGGGAGGTGCATAAATAATAGGCCTACCCACACCGTTCATCGGGAACTAACTGGCCCATCGTTCTTCCCACACGCGTATTGGGAAATTAATCGATCGGTGTTGCGGGCTACTCGATCGCCACATGTACATACATGATATGATGAGTTTGAAGCTATTCATTGACAGAAAGGCCGGGAAAGTCATCTTTGCGGAGGAAGACAAAGCCTTCGTTGACTTCGTGGTCAACATCCTCTCCCTCCCTCTTGCGGCGGTTTCCAAGCTTCTCAAATACGAAACCGGCGGTGGATCCTTCGGAAACCTCCACAAAAGCGTTGTAAACCTCAGTGACACTTGCCTTCATCACACCAAAGCCAGGGGCCCCCTCTTGAAAGAAATCAATTCATTACTATCGAGCAATACGCCTTTTCTCTTGACTGGTGACCTAGCTGTTTACTAGCACTAAAACTTACATTTGTCAACAAGAGGGGTATAAACCACACCCCTATGGCGCAACTTACAGCGCCGATGACCCGACGGCCCGTTGTCCCGGTTGCGGTAGGTTTATTACCACCGAGGGGAAACCTACGGTTATGGTCAACACAGTTGCCCTGACCGGATATTTGAAAGAGGCGTCGACGTATATGGTGACGGATGATGTTAGGCCCGGATTATTCCACAACGGTAGAAGCCCACAACCGCCGGTCTGATGCTCACATGAAGGGTAATGCCTAAGCCCAGCTCGAACGAAGCCCGGATGCACAAATGGAAAGTGACATCAACGCTTCTAGAACCAAGCTTAAATGGAAAGTGATGCACGTTGACTAAGGAAGCAAACAAAGAAAGTTGATACACGGCTTTAGTGACTTAATGATATATACATCCCCTTTCCTTTCTTAAATATTTAAATATTCTTACCATGTAATTTAATGGAAAGTTAGGTTAGAGCCTTAGAACATCTCCAATGGTAAAATGTGCACAGTGCACACGTGGCACGAGAAATAGCCACATAAATATTAGTAAATAAATTTTTTCTCTCCTTATTTGAATGATTTTATACAGTTTTGGTAAGTTTTTCTCCACAATGTCAAGGAGACCGTCTAAATGTTGACATTGTTGTTGACATTGCAGGGAAAAACTTACCAAAATTGTATAAAATCATTCAAATAAGGAGAGAAATAATTTATTTGTGAATATTTATGTGGCTATCACTCATGCCACATGCGCACCATGCACATTATAGCATTGGAGATGCTCTTAGATGCTAGGATAAATTCAAGCATCTTGTGAAGATCAATACGCATTAGAAACAGAGCTCACCAATACTCTTGTATTCACCACCAAACTCATCAATACAATTTCGATTATTAGCTTATTATCTCTTTAAATAATTTCTTGCACGATTCCCTTTTCGATTATTTGATTGTTAGAAGAAATTATCAACACCATCAATCTTCTGAGTTCGCTCAATATTAGCAAAGTTTCCTTACTTGATGTCAAGGATGTTAGATTTGGAAGCGATAAGGTACACTTTTATACAGAGTAGTTCTTTAAAAGCTGTTTTGTCCGTACCGTGTTCTTCCTCGTTTAATTTTTCCGGTACCTCCTATTTACACAAATCATGAAAAATTATCATATTGAGCAATATTGTTTGATTCTAATTCAATTTTCAATTATTTTTACCCTTAATGATTATGTAACCTTTTCTACCAAATTTTAGAGGGATGAAGCTATAAATGCTAGTACCTTCAACCTATATTGAATATCTTGTTTTAGTTTGAAATAATTGTTGATGAAATGATTGATAACTAAGTAAAAGTTGTAATTTGGAATTGAATAAACTGAAGTGCCAAAATTGTTAAGATATTGTTAAAGTATTTGTCCAACGCTAGAAATTATTAGACAATAAAGCATTATACTAAGTATAAGATTTTGAGATGTTCCTCCTATCAGGGGATGGGATGAAATCTTGGATGTTAAGAGAAATTGACTACATAATTCTTACAAAAAAGGAACGTTGCCTCCATTTTGAGAGGGATGTAGTGCTCCATAATACTACTATGTACTTCGTATTATATTTGACTTGTGTAAATTTGTTTGTAATGATACGACAGGCGCTAAAGCTGTTGAATGCTGTTATGGTCTCAAAATCAGTTCTCAGCGATGTGTTTCTCGTGGAATTGAATAGCTAGGGATTCTGAATTGAAAGGCATATCTATCGATATTTACTTTTATATTGCTCTAGCTTAGACAGTTTGTGCTTAATTATTTCTGTCTATTTCACTTTCATATCTATATTTGTCTTGTTTTGTTCTGTTAAGTCGTGCAATGGTAACATCAAGCCTTTTGTTTAATTTGGCGTTTTTATGGGGTGGTTTCTCTAGAGAAAAGCTTCGTCCTACCACTAAACTCTTACAATTACTATTACCAAAATATCTTAAAATATCCGTAAGAGTTTGGTGGTAGGACGAAAAGCTTCATCCTTGTTCTCAAAATATCTTTTCATATTCAAATAAATACCTTATTGTTTTACCTATTTCTGATTTTTCATTTAATTTATTGATCAGTTTAGGAACAGGATCGCCATCTTCTAGATCAACTTGGGCATGTTTCCATTTTTTGTCTACCCGGACGGAAGTTAACATAGTTTAGGTTCCATGCTAATCAGTCAATCACAGTAGAAAATCAACAAAATAATGGTCTTTACCAAATTTAGTATGAAACCATTTTACTGAGGCGGATCGAAAAAGTAAAATGAGACAATCTTAGAGGAACGAAGGAAGTACTAAATTAAATTTAAAAAATAAAAATATGACTTATGTTGGGCCCAAAGATTCTCTTGCAAATGGGCCAGCAGCTTAGGGTCCATTAATTAAATAGGTCAGCCCAAGTAGAGGCAAAAAAGTAGCCTAACAGATAAGATTTGAAGAGGAGAACGGAATCAGTCCAAGTTAGAGATCACCATGTAAAGCACGATCATTTTTGATCAAATCTACCATCTTAGTATTCATACATATCAATACATTCCAGTAGCCAAATTTTATTCATTTTGTTTAATCAATCATAGTTAGTATTATTAATCGTCGATTGATCCATCTTTGTTTCTTTTTTCTTGATTCCCAATTCATTCCTATATTCATAGATTAGATAATTTCTAGTTAAAACCATTGGCATCGTTTGTGGGAAATAGGGTTGTAAACGAATCGAATCGAGTCGAATAATTAGATTTTGTATTTGTATTTGTTTAACTTTTTCGAATACGAATTCGAATTCAAATATGAAATGAATATTAATTTCGATTTGTATTTGTATTTGTTTAACAATACGAAGAGTTAACGAATCATATACGAATATCGAATCAATTTGAACATATGTTAAATATTAGTCAAGTATCACTTTTAAATGACTTTTCTTTTACTCTGTACTCCGTATTTTTTATGTTTGAATTTGTAAATGCATGCTATGACTTAATATGTGTTTTTAGAATTTAAATTTAATGGATCAATGCATTTTTAGATGGTGCACAATATACTAAAATGAATTAATTTTATGATTAATAAATATAGATTTATTTCAAACTTTTTTGAAATAAACACTAACACACACATATATTAGAAATCATACTTATAATGTGTGAAATAAGTTGATAATTGTATCTATCAAAGTCAAACAACTCTAATTTTATTCTTCAAATCGAATACATAATTATTTGTATTGTATTTGAAAGGCATTTGAACAAAAAAAATTGATTTGTACTCTATTTATATTCTGATTTGTTACAAATGGGCTTGAGTCTCTATGCAAATATAGACTAAAAGTTATTGATATTAATATTACCATTATTATTCATCGAATATATTTGATTAATATTCGAATCGAATACACTAATATTCTTATTTGTATATTTGATAACAACTCAAATCAAATTTAATATTCTTATTTGTATTCGTGTTTGAATTTTCCAAATTCGAATCGTCTTATACGAATTCGAATTGCGAATCGAGCACAAATTATTTGATTCATTTACAACCCTAGTGAGAAATTATTGCAAAAAGAGAATCAATTATAGTCGAAAGTTCTAACTCCTTGATGAATGAGATCCAAGCACAGCTAGAAGCCGTCCGAGAAGAGCTCCGCGCATCCATAATCTCCGATGCGGCGCAGTTAGAAGCTGTCCGGGAGCAAATGCGTCAACGAGTAGCCCTCCTTCAACGAGAAAATGACGCCCTGCGATTTCAAGTACAATCAGTGGCATCCATAGCCTCGAGCTCACGACGGGGCAAGGATGTTGCGATCGTGGCAATGAGACTGGACATGGATTCGATTCCGGCTTCAACATAACCATTCATCCCACACTCCGGGGCCGAAACGTCTGGAGGAGCAGGGCCCTCAACTCGTTCCATTCCACCCCTAAATCCCAGACGGAACATATTCCGAAATCTGTTTGCGATCCCCAGAGACAACATGTTCCAAATCATGTCGATATTCCCAGGTACGTCGACATCAGCAATCAGATCTGCCATGCCCAGTCGACATGCCGACATGCCCAGACGTGTCGACATCAAAAAATCAAAGGTGTCAGGAGCCAGAGGTCGTCACCATACAGTCACCAACCGAGCAGAGGATAACTCAGACAGAAATGCCTCCCGAAGCAGCGGATCCGCAAATGCAAACAAACTTGACAGATCCCTTGGCCGTCATCATGGAGGAACTGAGGGAATTGCGAGAGAAGATCAACAACATACCTGGAGTTCCACACCCACTTGACATGGCGACGCAAACTTGTTACGCGGACTCACCCTTCGGACGACATATTGCAGACGTTGAGATTCCAAAGAAATTCACTGCACCATCAATGAAGTTGTTCGATGGAACCTCCGATCCGGAAGAACATGTCGCTCAATACAAGCAGCAAATGTTGGCTATCTCTGTCAGACCGGACCAACAAGAAGCTTGTATTTGCAGGGCATTTGGGACAACATTAACGGGACCATCATTGACATGGTTTGTGAACTTACCAAACGAGGGCGTCAACTCATTTGCGGAACTAGTTAATTTGTTCACTCAGCAATTTGCAAGCAATCGGACCCTAGAGAAACAAACTAGTGACCTGTATCGCGTGACCCAAAGGCGCAATGAGTCCTTACAAGACTACTTGCATCGCTTCAACAAGAAGAAGGTGTCAATCCGCAGGTGTCACGTACCGACAACAATCGAAGCATTCAGAATGGGGCTGCTGGAGGATTCAGAGTTATATCAGGAGTTGACGAAATACCCTAGTCCGTCCTTCGAAGATGTCCAAGCAAAAGCACTGGCTTTCATCCGTCTAGAAGAAGACTTACGATGCCGTCACGAACAAATTGAGCAAGAAAGGGGGCACGGGAAGTCAGAATCTCCCAGGAGACATGATTACAAACATGGAAAGCCTTATTCGAGGCCTAAGGAACAAGTCTTCACTTATGTGACAAGATAGTTTGGATGACATGATTGAAGTCGTCAGACGGGGGGCATGTCGTCCGATGGTAGACAGGATCTGAAGAGTTACAATACGGTACCCTTAAAGTTGTTTCACTTTATTATTCTTTTACATATTGTCGTCACTTCCGTGATGAAATAGACCAGACGACATGATCGACGGGGGGCTTACATCAAACAACGCCTTACAGCACGTCAAGACACAATTGACGGGGGGCTCACAGAATTTTAGGGGAAGAAGTGTTGTTTTCATGTACGCTAAACATGAGTATAAACACCACCGATTTTCCGCAATGTTTTGGCCAAAACAACAACACACATACAAGTGACATCATCATGTGAAGCAACAAAACAACATAACATACATCACATACACAAACGACATCAAACCAAAACTACAGAAATACACAACGGAAGCTTATGCTCCAAGAGCATGACAACACAAGCTCCAAAACATAAGGAGACAATACAAATGAAGTTGACATACATCATAAATATTCATGTCGACGATATTATTAAAACAACAAACAAAACGGTGTTTAAAGTTTTTACAGGTTACGGTCACATTCATAGAGTTAAACCCCTAATTTATACAACGAGGGACGAAATCATATTTGCCAACCAAAGTGTCGACATCTACCTAGACGAAGTATCAACTTGTCAGCATTGCTTAGATACGATCATTAGTACAAATTTGGAGGAAGATGGCTGGAGACTAGCCTTCGTTCTTCGTCACCCCAATCAAGGAGACAAATTCGATCTAAAAACTACTTGCACGGAATTAATGAAGTCGTCTCATCAGATGAGTGACGGGTTGAAGGAAACATGTCGATCGTCAGAAAAGTGACGAGTTGACAAAATCGTCTTGTTCCATGAACGACAAGTTGACAACATGTCTGATTGGACACATGCTGAGTTTAAATGGGCGACATTCAAGGATGACAAGATCAAAGTTTTCAAGATTTCGAAAAG